GAGTTATTTTTGACAGATTTTAAGATTCTAAGGTTGATTTTAACTCTAGTAATTGTTTTTCTTTGTGTTTAGATAAACACTTTTTGAAAACCTTAAAAGTTTTTAGGGGTAATAATTGTAAAAATTACTTGTAAATCTGAGATCAATGTGATTTTCTAAATTTGACTGTAACATTTAGATCGAGTCTAGAGGGTTACAAATACTTGGAGGATAGAATTTGGTGCTATCATTCATATAAGTGTTTCTATGTATAATTATTTAAGCTATCAAAAGCCAAGTGATAGTGAAAGACGTAGCTTTATGAGTGCTGAAAAACCAAGATCTACATCTTGTAAATACACTTTGCAGATGTAACTACTCGAATACAGGACTTCTACAGAAAATAATACTTCAATTAACCATTGAGGCTACTTAATGCCATTTTAGTTTATCTTTAAATTCAAATGTTATTGGAACTCATTATTTAAATGTTTATAACAACCTTTATTTATTAGATATAATCATATCCTATAATGAAACCTTGTATGTAGAATCGTGTGTTAAAATGCAAATTAGATAAATAAAATTTATGTCATTACGACATAAACACTTAGATCATATCTTAAAAGGTAAAATTGAACGTCTGGTGTCTAATGATATTTTAGAGTCTCTTGATTTCATGAATTTTAATGTATATGCCGATTGCATCAAGGAAAAATATATTAAAATTTAGAGATTAAGTGTTAAGGGATCTACATAAATCTTAGAATTAATTAGCGTTGATATTTGAAAGTCATTCCCTTTGATGTCTTGAAATGATTAACAATGTTTAATAATATTTATAGGCAGCTACTCACATTATAGGTACTTATAGATCTTATTCACGAAGAATCTTAATCTCTAGATATATTTCTCACTCACGCCAGTATGCCGTACGAGAATTTTCTGACTTGTTCTTGAAATATTTGCCAGGGTTATGCCTGACCGCGAGGTCGAGTTTAGCATAGAGGTTCTACTAGGTTCAGCTTCGGTGTCCATCACACCCTATCGCATAACGTTGACAGAGTTAAAAGAGTTAAAGAACCAGATCTAAGAATTACTTGAAAGGGGTTTCATCCGATCGAGTGTTTCACCTTAGGGAACGTCGATCCTCTTTGTCAAGAAAAATGATGAGTCGATGAGGTTGTGCATTGACTATCGACAATTGAACAAGTTAACCATCAAGAACCGCTATTCTCTCCCTTGGATTGAAGATTTGTTTGACCAGCTTAAGAGTGCATTTGTATTCTCCAAGATTGACCTGAGGTCAGGGTATTACCAGTTAAAAGTTAAGGATGTCGACATTGCTAAGATTGTGTTATGGACAAGATACGATCATTATGAGTTCTTCGTGATGCCATTCGGACTTACCAATGCCCCAACGACATTTATGGATTTGATGAACTGGGTTTTCATCCCTACCTAGATCAGTTTGCGGTGGTCTTCATCGACGATATCCTTGTGTACTCTCAGTCCGAGGAAGAGCATGATCAACACCTCAGTATCATTCTTCAGACGCTTAGAGAGCGTTAACTGTGTGCCAAGTTTGGGAAGTTCGAATTTTGGTTGACCGAAGTGGCATTTTTAGGTCACGTTGTAACGACCAATGGCATCCGAGTAGATCCCTAGAAAATCAAGGCAATGTTAGAGTGGAAATCGCCTAAGAACATCACCGAGGTGCACAGGCTTCTTAGTCCTTGTAGGGTACTATCGTCATTTTGTAAAGGGTTTCTCCATGATTGTGACACCGATGACCAAGTTACTTCAAAAAGAAATTCCGTTTGTGTGGAACGAAAAACGTCAAGAGAGTTTTGATCGGTTAAAGGAAATCCTTACGCAAACCCCCATTTTGACCCAACCGAAATCGGATAAAAGCTTCACTGTTTTCAGTGATGCATCTCTAAATGGGTTGGGATGTGTTTTGATGCAAGAAGGCAAGGTTGTGTCCTATGAGTCTCATCAGCTCAAGCCTCATGAACAAAACTATCCTACCAAGGATTTGGAGCTTGTCGCAATGGTCTTTGCTTTGAAGATTTGGAGACACTGCTTGTTTAGAGAGAAGTGTCACATCTTCACGGATCATAAGAGCCTGAAGTATCTGCTCACTCAGAAGGAGTTGAACTTGAGGCAGAGAAGATGGGTAGAGCTTTTGAAAGATTACACAACTGCATGATAGATTACCATCTAGGTAAAGCGAACGTTGTAGTCGATGCTTTGAGTAGGAAGACCATAGTAGAGTTGAGAGCTTTACTAACGCGTTTAAGTTTGTCTGATTTAGGATGTTTCCTAGCCGAGTTAAGAGTGGAGCTCGTGTTAGTGGGCGAAGTTAAGAGGTTGCAAAGTTCAGACGACCGATTGAAGATCCGAGTAGAGTGAGTCTTCCGAGGTGAGGCCCCAGGTTTTGAGCTACGTGATGGACGCATACTGTACTTCCGAGGACGCTTATGTGTGTCGTCCGACAGACAATTTAGTGAAAATATCCTTCATGAGGCGCATTATAGTCCCCTCTCCGTTCACCAAAGTAACAACAAGATGTGCCAGGAGCTTTGAGTATTGTATTGGTGGTCGGGCATGAAGATAGAAGAATCTAAATTTGTTGCCAAGTGCTTAGTGTGCCAATAAGTCAAGGCAAAACACCAAGTTCCCTCAGGATTGTTGTAACCAATTCAGATTTCGTAGTGGAAATAGGAGAGAGTGACTATGAACTTTGTGACAGGTCTACTGACGACGAGATTTCAACACAATGCTATGTGGGTCATAGTGGATCGCTTGACCAAATATGTTCATTTTCTTCCCGTACATATGGACTGCACGTTAGATAGATTGGCTTAGCTATATATCTGCGAAATTGTGAGGCTGGATGGAATTCCCATTTCGATCATATCTAACAGAGATCTGTTTTTCACCTCCCGATTCTATAAAGCCTTTCATGGAGCTTTGGGTACTAAATTGCATTATAGCACTGCCTTTTATCCTCAGACAGACGGACAGTCTGAGCGGGTTATTTAAATTTTAGAATATATGCTTTGGTGTACCATTTTAGACCTCGAGAGTAGTTGGGAGGATCACTTTCCTTTGGTAGAGTTCGTTTACAACGACAGTTGTCAAACAAGTATTCAGATGGCTCCGTACGAATCCTTGTATGGGCGCAAGTGCAGAACCCCTTTTTGTTGGACTGAGCTCAATGAGGGTAAGATAGTAGGCCCCAACTTGATTCAAGAAACCGAAGAAAAAGTTAAGCTGATTTAGACTCACTTGAAAGAGGCTTCTAACAGACAGAGGTTGTATGCCGATCTAAAGCGCAAAGATATTGAGTTCGATGTAGGAGAATACTGATCAAAATCACAAGTTCACTAAACAAAACTCTAATATTGTTGTCATAAAATTAAGATACCGCACATAAAAAGAATTCAACACAATAGAATAACAATATATGCAAGAAAGAATGGACCATATCACACAAATTATTCAATATCATCCATGTGTTCATTTCATGTTTTAGCCTTTCCCCCCTCTACTAGTGTTTCCTAGGAAAATATTTACACTTCCTAAAGACGAGGAAAACCTTGGGATATAAAGATTCAGAACTCTAGTTTTTATCAGTTGGTCTGAGTTTCCTCTTTTGGGTGGACACTGGGCAGCAAAACACATCATGAATTTCAACATTATCCATCCTTCAGTTGCTAATACCATGCAACGGAGATCACCATTTTTGCTCACATCATACCGCTCATTCATGATCTCCATTCGACAAAATACCACACCATTATCACCACTTGCCAGAACACCAAGCCACCTTACTTTAAATATTCATGTCAACCTCCTATGGCTTCAACATCATACTTGACAACCTTCGCCCCCCCAACCCCAATAATCATTATTACTTCCGACGGTAAAAGCATCAGTATACATCGATTTTACTACCATCGATCTACCCTCCCTTTCCTGCATCTCATCTAACATAACCAGAACAAATTTTAACGTCATATCACCGAAAGAGACATGCCTTACTCATTTGTAGGGCAAATCAGCAAAATACATGCCACCTACACTGCTAATACGACCAAACTACCACTATCACCATTCTTATAGCTCCAAAATTATCTTCATTTGATATAGCATGCCTTGTTTCTTCTTGAATTGTTGGGGAAATCAGCAAAAATCATGCCAACTACACCGCTCTGCTACCACAACCAAACCGCCTCTGTCACTATTTATACCTCCAAAAGCACCTCCAGCTCACTATAACATGATTCAAGAAGCCTATTACTATTACTGTTCATCTAGGACATCATGTTAAGCATTAAGTCAATAATAATAACCATGAAACAAGGTCAGATGAAGGGCTATTAGTATGATTTTTCCAACTATGAGAAAATTCCAACCGCTAATAAAATTAGAGAACATGCATTGAAAAGAAGGGTGAAAAGTGCTTACTTTCCGGTTATTCTTAGTGAAGCTTTTTCCTTTGAAATTTCACAACACCATTGAAGCTCTCTGGTAAAGTGTCAATGCCTCTGTTTAGCTTCACAATACGCCATTAATTTACCGGCCAATCTATCAAAATGAACTTGAATCCTTCCTCTGTTCGGAATTTTAAAAATAAATCCAATGACGGATTGATCTAATAATTACTGAATTTGTGGAGGAGAATTGAAAAATGCCGCGCGTTTTCCCCTTTACAGCAAAACTATCTGGGTGTATTTTTTATTACAAAACGAAGTTTAGATTTTTAAAATGAAAATAAATTAAAGTTCGAATTGAACTTTGATCTCGTACTCGATCTTTACCAGTTGATCTTCGCTCCGTTACGAATGGCAAGGACGTGAAGCAGTGGATTTACTAGGATTGAATTTGTGCTTTTGAATCCGTTTCCATCATCTTATTCAATGATAAGACGATAACTGCTCAATCAGTAGGTGCGCTTATCATGATAGGTGAGATGGCCATTCACTGTTGGTAAGGAGAAAAAGAGGAGTGAATATAGCGAGACCAAGTCTCTCTCTCTCTCTCTCCTTATCTTGTCTTCTTCTTTGCAGTCTTTGAAACCCTAGAAATCCTCGACATTCGTTCTGACATAAACCTTAGAGAGGGAAGCTTTTGGGTTATTATTCAGATTCGAAGTTAGAGCGGAGTTAACTCGAGCTCGTGCTGTTCCTTGACCCGGCTAGTATTGGGAGATCGAGTTCCTTTTGCTCTTGAAAAGCTGAAAATGTCGTCCTTGAGCAGAGAATTGGTGTTTCTCATACTTCAGTTTCTGGAGGAAGAGAAATTCAAGGACTCCGTTCATAGGTAAACCTTTTATTTTTGTTATTTATTTAATTAATTTCTCTGTATACGTACACACCGTATATTTGTATTTGGTTTTGTATGTACATGATGTGTGCATGGGGGTTTCCGCATCAGTACAACTAGAATACATGAAGGAAAATGTTGTCACCGAATTTAGTTCAGTTAACATCGTTTTAAATAGCTGTCGATCGAGTTTAGTTCGGTTAACATCATTTTCGATACGTTATACAAGACTACGTAAAATAAAATATGTTTTAGTGCTCATTATCCATCGAAACAATGTGCATTAGTAGGCCAATTGTTATGTGCATTAAGAGTACCTAAAATCGGATATGTTTTAGTGCTCATTACATGGTTTTGTGAATTTGATGTATGAGTATGAAACAATGTCATCCTCTGTAGGCTTGAGAAAGAATCTGGGTTTTACTTCAACATGAAGTTCTTTGAAGAGAAAGTTCAGGCAGGAGAATGGGATGAAGTAGAGAAGTATTTATCGGGTTTCACAAAAGTCGATGATAATCGATATTCCATGAAGATATTCTTCGAGATAAGGAAGCAGAAGTATCTGGAAGCTCTTGATCGGTATTGCTGATGCTTCAGTTGTTTAATCAACAGGAACCCTTGTGTTGTTTCTTAACGAATGCTTTAACTGTTCTTGATTCCTGCTGAAATAATTTGATTTTATTTTTTACACATGTCACAGGCAGGACAAGGCAAAGGCTGTTGAAATTTTGGCTGGTGATTTGAAGGTGTTCTCCACATTTAATGAGGAACTGTACAAAGAAATCACTCAACTCTTGACCCTCAACAATTTCAGGTAATTTCATTGCACAGATCAACTACACTGGTAAATGCTTGAATTTTTCATATTTTTGTAGTTGTGTATTGCTCATCTGAGTGCAGAGAAAATGAGCAGCTGTCCAAATATGGGGATACAAAAACAGCTCGCAGAGTAATGTTGGTAGAACTAAAGAAACTCATAGAAGCGAATCCTTTTTTCCGTGATAAGCTTGCTTTCCCTACTTTGAAGTCCTCAAGACTGAGAACTTTGATCAACCAAAGGTGAAGATGATATCATAATTGCTATTAGAAAATTAGGGAAGCACATATATTTTGTTATACCAGTTTATATTAATGTGTGTGTGACTTGAAAGTATTGTTTCATACAGCTTAAATTGGCAGCATCAGCTATGCAAGAATCCAAGGTCTAACCCAGACATCAAAACTTTATTCACAGATCACACATGTACACCTACAAGCAGTCCGCTCACACCTACACCTGTCAATCTTCCAGGTGCTTCAATTGCGAAACCTCTGGCTTATACGTCACTTGGTGTAAGTTTCCTTGCATCTTTACCATTTTTTTATTTCCTTGAATGGATACTAATTTTCTACATGTAATCTTTAGGATATTGACTGACTCATGCTTTCTCCTACTTGGCATATAGCCCTTCCCCCCAACTGCTGCAGCAGCTACTAATGCTGGTGCTTTAACAGGCTGGATGGCCAATGCGTCTGCCTCTTCATCTGTTCAAGCTGCTGTTGTCACTGCATCATACATGCCTGTTCCACAAAATCAAGGTCAGCACTTCAATTCTGACTCATTAAAAACGGTTTTGTTAAAGACGTGCATTAAGAGGCATAATTCGGGCGATTGGCCTCTTAATGCACATCCACCGACATTGATCAGAAGATGGTAAACCATCAATTTAATGTATTTTTCCTGAGATCTTGGGTGTAGTTTCAGTTGCTGGTCTAATATTATAATGTCATTCTCGTCATTTATTATTTCTGGATGTGTTAACTCTCAATAAGCAAATTTTTGTTAGCCTTAAAGTTTTATTTACTTAAACAATTGATGCTAAAGGTGGTATGAGACATTTCTTTTTTCTGTTGTACCCTGTCTTTAGCATACATAGAAGGATTGCATAAAGGAACTCTTGATTATGAAAATATGTCTTCTTGGATGTATGCCATTTAATCTGCATTCACATTTTAACAGTTTCAGTCTTGAAGTGTCCTAGAACACTTCCATCGGTTCCTGGCATGGTTGATTATCAGAACCCTGACCATGAACAGTTAATGAAAAGATTACGGCCTGCTTCATCAGTTGATGAGGTAATTTTTTATTTTGTTTTAGTTATTCAATTTTTGATCCCTCATTACTTGTTCTTTTATCATAGAACTACATTAATCTTAGATCCCCTACCAATTTAATATTTCCTTTTCTTTTTCCGTATTAAGGTTACATATCCTACACCCCGGAAGCAAGCCTGGTCATTGGAGGACCTGCCAAGAACAGTGGCTTTGACCATGCATCAAGGATCCATGGTCACAAGCATGGATTTTCATCCTTCACACAACACATTGCTACTCGGTATGGAAATTTACTTCTATCCTTGCACAATTGAGCTTGAAACTTTTCTATTTTCATGACGATGTAATTGGAGCAGTTGGTTCCGCCAATGGTGAAATTACAATTTGGGAACTCGGAATGCGGAAGAAATTGGTCTCAAAACCATTCAAGATATGGGAGATGTCGGCATGTTCAATGCCATTACAGGTTTGTGTGCCATTAATTACTGAGAGCTCGCTCTATCTTATACCGTATTCTTTTCTTTTTCCAATGTCAATCAAATTACCGTTTTCATGTCACTCGTCTGCTTTAGCAATTTCTATGGGTTTAGGCATTGCAATTGATTTTGTTGGAAGAGTTACCTGCAGGCTTTGATGGTCAGTGATACCACAATATCTGTCAGCCGCGTCACATGGAGTCCTGATGGAAGTTTTGTAGGTGAGTTCCTTTTTTATATATTATTGATATTTTATTTTGCATATATTTGTACTTATTGCCTTACTTGCTGTAGGGGTTGCATTTTCCAAACACTTAATTCACTTGTATGCTTATGGTGGATCAAATGATCTAATCCAGCGGTTAGAGGTTAGTTAATATTTCTTCTACTGTCCAGATAAAAGGACCGATAACTAGTGTTCGACCTTTTCTCCTTTGTTAACAGATTGATGCCCATGCTGGTGGTGTTAATGACTTAGCTTTTGCTCATCCAAACAAACAATTTTGCATTGTTACCTGTGGAGATGACAAGATCATAAAGGTGAGAAATAGTAAATTTTCACTAATATGATAGTTTGATTAAACTGGAATACTGGGTATCTGTCATTGTATTACTGAAAGAAGTGGAGCAGGTGTGGGATTCAGCGACAGGAAAAAAACTGTTCAATTTCGAAGGTCATGATGCACCGATTTATTCCATCTGCCCGCATCATAAAGAGAACATTCAGGTACAGTTCAGTGATTGGTTTTTGATTATATATACCTCTTAGTATTAAGAATAGGAAACAAGGACAAAGACTTGATTATAAATCTGCTAGCAGCTTTGTCCTCTGCTGCTGTCTGGACTGTGATTATAACCAATCTCTTCTACTAAAGACGCTATCACGACCTGCTTGTTAAATGCATGGAACTTGGTATAGCAAAGTGCTCTCATAGTGTAATTTATGATTTCCTTTCCAGTCAGATATCCAACAAAGAGGTGTCTGCTTTCTCAAAACCATTTCCATACTCCCAGTTAGAACTTACCCCCAATGATCTTCCCTTTGGTTCTAAGTGATCTGTTATATTTGATTGGACCTGTACAAAATTTTAGGCCAGTGTCTTTCTGGAGTTCAGGTTTTTATTTTAGTTGAATGCTTATGGTCTTCTTTTTGTGCTGATAATTGATGTTTCAATGGGAATTTATACTTTGGTAATTATCTACATCACTGCAGTTCATATTTTCAACTGATGCCAATGGGAAAATTAAGGCCTGGCTGTATGATAATTTGGGTTCCAGAGTTGACTATGATGCCCCAGGTCACTCGTGTACTAGGATGCTTTACAGTGCCGATGGAAGTAGGTATGATCATGACAACTTCAGCAATTTCCTGTTAAAAACTTCTAATTACCTTCATGTAATTCGTTAATCTTGAACTTCTACTAAGTTCTGCTTCCGTTTCAGATTGTTCTTTTGTGGAACAAGTATAGATGGAGAATCGTTTTTGGTTGAGTGGAATGAAAGTGAAGGAGCGATAAAGAGGACATATGTTGGGTTTAGAAAGAAAACAGCCGGCGTTGTGTCTTTCGACACAGCACAAAATCATTTACTGGCTGCAGGAGAAGATAGCCAGATAAAGTTTTGGGATATGGATAATATCAATCTTCTCACTTTCACAGATGCCGAGGGTGGACTCCCTGTTAGTTAAATGTTCAAATCTTGTAGCTCTTTTATGAAACATATATGCTATTAAGTTCATCTTGTTACTTGCTTCAGAGTCTTCCCCATGTGAATTCAGTAAGGAAGGAAATCTCCTTGCTGTGACAACAGCAGACAATGGAATCAAAATACTCGCAAATGCTGTCGGTCTCAGATCTTTAAGAACTGTTGAAACATCTTTTGATCCATTGAGAACACCCATTGCTTCTGCTGCAATTAAGGTCTTTATAGTTTTGGTTTGCTTCATGTTTCCTTCGGAATATTCATGTATTCAGACCTTCAGATTTTTGCTTTTTTCTCTGTTGGTTTAGGCTTCAGGATCATCTTCTGCAGTAGCAAATGTTGGTCCTTCCAATTTTAAAGTGGAAAGGAGCTCTCCTATCAGGCCCTCTTCCGTACATGTATGTTAGCTTCGATGTTCCTTGCTTCGTTTTTAACTTTCTTCCTGAATATTATAAGGTAGTTGGAGGTTGCTACTTGCTGTTACTATATGGTTCATTATGCTACAAGCATTTTAGGAGATAAAATTTAATGGCCAACTCTTTCGTAACTTATAGGTTCTTTTCATGCAATAAGATGTAGTGCTTTCAATGGAATCAAGTGGACCGTATATCATTGAAATTGACCCCTATGTTTTCAAGTTTTTCTTTTCATGGTTATGATGTTCTTATTGCAATTGATTTTATTGTTTTGGATTGTTTTCTCCCCAAGAATGGAGTTGATCCCTTAGGTAGAAGTATTGAAAAGCCAAGAGTTCTGGATGATGCAATAGACAATACTAAACCCTGGCAGTTAGCTGAAATTGTGGATCCTGGTCAATGTCAGCTAGTTACTTTACCCGACAGCACGGATAGCTCCAGCAAGGTCTGTTAGTTTTCTTCAAACAATGAGGTTTTTATCATGTTTTTACCATTTATCACTGCCACTGAATCATTGAATCTTTTTGAAGGTGGTTCGGCTTTTGTATACAAATAATGCCAATGGTATTTTGGCACTTGGATTGAATGGTGTTCAGAAGCTATGGAAGTGGCTTCGTAACGAACAGAATCCATCCGGAAAGGTAAAACACTTCCTCTTGAATCAGAATGTTTCTTTTGCTTTTGACATTTACTCTATAAAATTCATTTTTATAGCTAAGAACTCTGAACTCCTTTAAACTTTAAAGGCCACTGCCAATGTTGTTCCACACCATTGGCAACCAACTAGTGGTCTTATGACTAATGATGTCATAGGTGTCAACTTGGAAGAAGCTGTGCCCTGCATAGCAGTCTCAAAGAACGATTCATATGTACTCTCGGCCACTGGGGGAAAAGTTTCTTTGTTTAACTTGATGACTTTCAGGGTATGCCTTCACGTTCTTGTGTTTCGAATGCACATAATGTTCGGTTCTCTAATAACACATGATTTGCAGGTAATGACAACATTCATGTCTCCTCCTCCGGCTTCAACATTCTTAGCATTCCATCCTCAGGATAATAACATCATTGCAATTGGAATGGAGGATTCAACTATCCATATTTACAATGTCCGGGTAGCTGAGGTGACACTTCTGAACTCCGACGACATTAATGCTTACTTATTCTTCTTCACCTTGTGCTATTCTGCTCCCCTAATTGATTCCTATCCAGTATGTTTCAACTTTTTTTCTTTTTTCAGGTGAAATCAAAGTTGAAAGGTCATCAAAAGCGAATAACTGGTTTGGCCTTTTCAACCAGCCTCAATATCTTGGTTTCTTCAGGTGCTGATGCTCATGTAAGTGGTATCCAGGCTTGTCATATTTATTTTATTCTTAACTTATGGATATAAATCTTGCTGTTCTCTGCAGCTGTGTGTGTGGAGCATTGATACGTGGGAGAAAAGGAAATCAGTTGCAATCCAAATCCCAGCTGGAAAAGCACCTACAGGTGAAACGCGAGTACAGTTTCACTCTGATCAAATTCGCATGCTTGTAGTTCATGAAACACAATTAGCAATATATGATGCCTCAAAGATGGAGCGTATTCGACAGGTAGGAAAGTACAAAAAGATGGCATAGGTTTTGATGATATAAAGTTTGCTTTTGACGATGGGAACACTTACTAATGCCATTTATTTGCTGCAGTGGATTCCTCAAGATGTACTGTCTGCACCCATAACTTACGCAGCATACTCCTGTAATAGCCAATATGTGTATGCTACCTTTCGGGATGGTAATATCGGGGTATTTGACGCTGATAACATGAGGCTTCGATGTCGTATTGCTTCATCAGTTTACTTGTCTCCGGTGATCCTAAAAGGGTAAGTTGTCAGTTGTATTCCATTTAACTGCATGGAACCTGTAGCGGTATACTAATTGATGTTATTTTTATCTGGACTATTGTCTACTATGATCAGACAGTTAAATCTGTCATGTTTCTCCCTTCTAGCACCATTTTGTTTTTCTCCAAACCGATAGTTCTAAATTAATGTTAGTATCTGCTGGGCTATCGTCTACTATGATCAGACTATCAAATCTTCTTGATTCGCTTTTCCTGTACCACATTTCGACGTATTCCGGACTGGAAGTTCTGTTAATTCCTCGTTCATAAGTGCTGCATGAACTTGGATTAAACTTTCATTATTTCTGCTGTTTGTTTTACAGAAACCAAGCAGTATATCCGCTGGTGGTAGCTGCACATCCAATGGAGGCAAACCAATTTGCAATCGGGCTGAGCGATGGAATAGTGAAAGTGATGGAGCCATCAGAATCTGAAAGGAAATGGGGAGTTAATCCACCACCGATGGATAATAGTGCGGTGAATGGTCGGACAACATCGTCGTCTACCACAAGCAATCACACAGCTGATCAGTTACAAAGATAAGTATGCGATGAGATTAAGATATATGTCCATAGTCGTTAAAATCTGTAATTCCATATATATGTAAAAAAAAAATGTATAAAACTAGGTGTTCTTAGTATGTCTAAATGATTAACAAGTGACTGAATGACCAAATTCTTGTATAATATTTACGTCCATGCTACTTGATTGATGGTCAAAGTGGCTGTAGTTTTAATTAATTCAATCACGCAATATTGTTGATTGTTAAGTTTCACGCAGTAATTATTTTTTTTTTCTTTTGAAGACTTCCAAGTTTCATGTATTATCCGATTCCGAATTAATCGATTAATTGATCAACTACCAATAGTAATACAAAAGTAATGTTATCAAATTCTAATTTAAGTATCCAACAGATAATTTTATTTAATCTGGATTCAAAGTACTTAATTTAGTACAAGTTTTTACATTTTAAGACAATAATGTAGATACATATATTATTTATGCAATCTTAAGTTCTACTCATAAGTTCAAGTCGTTAGCAATCAAACTATTATCGTAAATATCTATCGGATCCGAGTTAGATTTGTATGAACATCCGACCACTAATCGTAAACAATGGAAACAGAACACCTACTTCCCTCTTACAAACCATCTACCACAGTCACATAAGTAATGGTATTCTGCTTCTTCCTTGTTGTAGGAGGTAGGACAGGCTGGTCCGAAGGAATAATATCGACAACCAAGCAGGTTGTGTCATCCTTCAACCCCCTTGACCTCAAAGCTTCCTGAATAAGTGAAAAACTACAATCAATATCAAGGCAAATTGAATGGATAATACAAGGAGAAAACACGTCTGAATATCACCTTATCAACCAGCTTTGCTGCAAGGTCCGCTGGTAAGCCCCGACAAGACTTGGCAGCCGTGTCGGAAGATACAGCGTCCCGAATACCATATGAAGCAATAATAAGTAGCCCTCCAGCATTTGAGAAAAATAGAATAGAAGGGTTCATTCATGGTTTGAATGCTAGGAAAGAAAATTGAAAACCACATCACCATTAAGGCATGAAGATGTAACCTTGACTTGTTTGACAAGCGGTATTGGGATTTTTGGACATAAAAACCTTTGATAATGACATTTATTTCCTAATCCCTGGAATAAGTAAATACTTATATGGAAGCTGCTCTCAACTTAGTGTTGGGGGCAGCCTACTATTTATCTCCCCTTACCTAGGGCCGACTCTGACTTTTTCTTGGCCCGGGGTAAAATTTAAAAAATGGGCCCTAATTTAAAAGAATATTAAAAAATATGTAATGTAGAATTTTAATTAATTTTTATTAAATTAAATAAACATTAATTCATTACAATATCAAAAATGTCAAAAACATATTTAAGCATATAAATACTTATAAAAAACATTGCCTTCGAGCATTTCTTGATGCAAAATCATTGATAATAGTGTCAACATCAATGCTTTTCAACATATTTTTCTCAATATATAACATAGCGAGTCCATTCAATCTTTCTTGTGACATTGTTGACCTCAAGTAATTCTTCAATATTTTCAGCTTTGAAAAACTTCTTTCCGCGGATACTACCATTACCGGCAGTGTTAATAAGATTCGATAAGCAATTGAAACATTAGATAACAATCTCTAGCTTTAACAAACTCAAGAACTTCAAGCGCTGACATGAATACATTTGGCAAAGTCAATTGCATCACTTTCATTTCAGAAAAAAAAAATCATCTGCATCAACATCCGACAAATTATTATGAGAAAAAATAATCTTAAAATTATTGCAACATTCTTTTAATTTATTGTCATCCAATGACTTCAACCTTGTAGAATCAATTAAAAATTCAAAATAATTTTCTAAAATATTTAATTGTTTAAATCTATCTTTCAAAGAAGCGAGCGCCATATCAACAACAACAACAAAATAATTAACTTTAAAATACTCCTATGTTGATTGCATTTCTTCATCATGGTCATTCTCATCAAATTGTCTTTTTCTAAAAATACGACGCTTAGTCGGAAAAATTAGCTCTATGTTCATATCTAATGCAAGACTTTTAGCAATATCTATACTAACTTCGAACCCCTAATTTCTATAGTTTTCAAAATATGACATTACACCTTCCAACTCTTTATGGTAGTATCAATGCACATTGATTTAGATTGTAATTTCTTACTTACCGTGTTGATAGCAAATAAAATATCATACCAAATAACCATTCCAAGTAAGAATTCAAATCTTTGAAGGGCACTAGCTAAACTTTCTGCTTCACTTTTTGCTTTTGCATCATTACCACAATATTCATATAATTGTAACAAAGCTAACCTTATTTTAGGAGTATGACATTTAATAGCTTTGACACTTTTAATTCGACTTTCCCATCGAGTATCAGATAAAGATTTCACAGTTTCCGGAACATTATCACATAAAATTTTCCACTTTTTGGTAGAACTTGCGAACAATGAATATATACGTTGCACAATCCCAAAAAAAGAAATAGCTTTAACACAAGAATGTGCCATATCAAAAGAGAAAGATTAAGATTATGACAAGCGCATGGCATATAAAGCTCTAGGATTTTTTTCAAGTAATCTCTTTTGAACACCTTGGTGTTTTCCTTTCATATTAGAACCATTGTCATATCCTTGGCCCCTCACATCATCAACGTTCAACTCTAGAGATTGCAATGTATTTACTAATTCATTGAAAAGCCCCAATCCAGATGTATCATCCACTTTCAAGAACTCTAAAAAGTACTCTTCTATTTTTACTTTGTTGTTTGACATATTTAAACATCGCACTATTAGAGTCATTTGTTCTTAATGACTTACATCAGGGGTGCAGTCAAGAATAACAGAGAAATACTTTGCCTTCTGGATGATCTTTAGAATAGAAGTTCTAATACTATGAGCCAAGAGAGAGATTAGTTCATTTTGAATGATATGACCAAGATAATGATAATGAATATTTTCACTTTGAATACGCCTAATATGGTCTTGCATAGGCAAATCAAATTCAGCAATCATTTCAATTAATCCTAAAAAACTTCCATTATTCTCATCATAAATTTTCTCACTGGATCCTCGAAAAGCTAAATTATTTTTAGCAAGACATTTTACAACACAAACTATTCTTATTAAAACTTGCCTCCAACGTTCTTTCTCTTTTGAAATTCCTTGTTGTAAATCTTTATCAAGTGTTTGATTAGTTTTTAATCTCACTCTTAATTCACTCCAAATATTCATGTTAGTCATATGCTCAATATTATTTTCATGTTGTTCGAGTCTCTCACTAAGATGCTTCCAATCATTTAATCCATCATTTCCTAAATAACTCTTATTGTTTTGTTTTGTAAACAATTTACAACAAAAACAATAAACTTTGTCCACATGTTTAGAATAGACCAACCATTTTCTATCGCTAATCTCTCCATTACTCAACTTTTTAGAAAAATAAGCATACGAAAAATGCCTAGAATTATTGGCTAAGGGAAATTTCAAATTCAATTCTCTTATAGACCCCTTTTCAACTAAAATATCTCTAGATTTATTATCAAGATTACCCCAATTTCTAGGATCATAAATGTCTACAGTAGGGACTAAGTGTTGATCAATCCCAACATCTTCAATATTAGACTCGTTTTGTGCATGATTATGGACATTTAAATTAGCTCATTTGAAGAACTATCAAGATTATTTAAATTCTCAGCAATATCATTTAAATTTTCATTAGAAGACTCTTTCTACTCTATTTTTAAAGAATTTATCAAGAGCTCCCTTTTGTGATTCTATTAAATCATCTATTTGTTTTCTTTTTTTTTTCTTTTTTCACTACCAGACAAATGTTTTTTAGAAAACATTATATAACAATGCAACTAATGTAGAAAAGAACAATAACACCTGTAAATGGGAAGATCCTCGATTGAAGTATTTATACGCCAAATTCACAACACCGTAATGATTGAACTTAGAAGGAATATGAAGTATCTGCATATACACGTTTGACATTTCATATCCAAAATTTATGAAACAAAAAAAAGAGAATAAGTTTATCTATAATTTAGAAATATATAAAAATAAAAATAAAAAGAATTTGGAAACACGAACTTACTTAGGATTTTAAAAATATCTTCAATGACCACAATTGATGATAAGTAATTGTGTTTGTGAATTGTGAGAAATATGAGAAATTGAAAATTGAGAACAATAAGAAATAAATTGATTTTACTTCAATGTTCTCATATCATTTATAGGAAATAAAAAAAGTAACCGTTAGCCCTCTTGGCTCTTGTATTAACGTTGAACATCCAAAAAAATTAAATTCAACTTGCATTAATTTACTCTAATATTTATGAGTCATCTGACATTAATGTAGAAATAATATATTAATATTTATGTAACCGTTATGGGCCCTTGGCTCTTGCATTAACGTTTATAAGATGAGAACATCCAAAAAAATTTAAATTCAACTTGCATTAATTTATACTAATATTTATGAGTCATCTTGCATTAGAAATAATATATTAATATTTATGGTAATCGGCCCTCGTGATTATGATAAGAAATCATTTAAAATTGAACATTAATATTTATGGGGGCCTTTGCATTAATATAAAAAACAATATATTAATATATATGGGCCATACTTTTAATTTAATTTATTAAAATATAATAAATTAATATAAATCAAAATTATGGGCCCTGAACAGGTGTTCCTTTTGCCCCTGCCATTACCCTATTACATATGGGAACAAACAATATTTTTTATATGTTCGACTTTAAACTATGAAACAAAAGAATGAAGATTCATTCGAATTTCGAAAGACGTGCTGATGCTGCAAATTGTTTCCCGCTAATTTGCTAGAGATTTTATACATATATATATATATATATACATATATATATTTTTTTGTGGGTGGTGTTTTATCTGTCACTTTAATGGACTTTAATGAGTATTATCAAGGGATATTTGCTGACTTGGCATTGTGTCCGTGGACCTAAATTAGAGGGGCGAGCCATTAGTGTGAAAGGGAAAGTTTGACATGTAGCAATCAGTTCTCTGTATGCGACTTGCAGGTGATGATTGTTGTGTTTCTTTGGTTTAGATGTGCCATCAGGCTTGGACCACTACTAACTTAAGGAATACCAGATGAAAATGAGTCCGCTACAGAACAATCACCGGTTACCATTTCGCAATTGAAGTCATCGTTATAGCTTACTTCCGTTGCAGATCATAGTCTTGGTTCCCGTTTGTGTTCGTAGTTTATCTGTTTGAAGTTTTGTTCAGGGTGTATCTATGTAGGATCAGTGGTATGACTCTGACGGAAATTCTGAGACTTTTTTGCCAATGCTTACTCTATTTGGCCTTGCTGATGGATTTCTGTATTATTTACGGTGTCATGCGCATTTCAGTTAGACTATAAGGCGAAAGCGCTTTTATTGACTCGGATGTCATGTACTCTAACCGTCATATAAGGCGAAAGTGCTTTTATTGACTCGGATTTCATGTACTCTAACCGCCATATAAGGCGAAAGCGCTTTTATTGACTCGGATGTCATGTACAGAAGACTATCGACTAGCGCCTTAGCAAAAGATGTGAAAAGTATCCTGTATACAAGATCCCCACAGTGGTTAAGTTTAGCTCATTAGATCTTTGATGTAGTAATGTACTTTTTTTCCTGGTTAGCGGTGTAACCAATTTTTAAGTCGATTTATACTGATCATTCATCGAAATTTGAGTGCAAAAAATGCTCTAATTTCATTTGATCACCATTCTTGGGTTGAAATCATTTTTCCTTTTATGAAATTTATCTATCATGACCTGAAATTAATATATGAAGAGGTAATCTGATCAAGTCTGGCAACTAAAACTCCACATCCCACATAAATTACACTCATTCATTCCAACGCCTTAAACATTTTGCTTCTAAATACATCAATGTTTTCACTACGAACAGCATAACAAACCATAGATTGCAGGGGCTCTGTGCCATCCGCAAGGGTTTTCGGGTCTGCAATCGGAGCAAACAATACGAAGGCAGTCATAAAATATCATCAAGAATTGTGGACAACAGCATCACTT